GCGCGAGTGCAGCAGTCGAGCCACATCAGCCGGCCCTCCGAGCCGAACGTAGGGGCTCTCACGCATCCTGCGATTACTTGGGCGGCAGTCAAGTATCAATCTCAAAGTGCCGGCCTTCTTCCTCACAAAGAAAGGTGTCGCGATGACGTGCGACGTGCGGCCGAAGCGAAACAAACCAGACCTGTGACCCCTCATCACGAAGTCGAAGTAAGCGTCGGCATCGGTCTTAAGCACTGGATCCATGTACGGCTTGACATGCTCCTCACACTCAGTAATATGGCCCCAATCGTCGGGACCGTGCAAGATCTCCTCTTCGAAGTTAACGAGACATTCTCTGGCCCTGCCCTCCAGCACCGTGGATAGGTCGACGGGCTCCGCCCCAAGTTGGGGCGTGGAGAGCAGATCCTTGTCGTAACTCGCGATGGGAAGCTCAGGACCACCAGCGTAGCCCCGTCCTGCGCCGAGCAACTCCACGCGGGCTGCCTCGGCATTAACGATCTCCGGGACGTCCGTCCGATGAACATGCAGAAGGCGTTGAAGAGCCGTAGCCTGTGACAAGGTAGGACTCGAAAAACTTGGAGGCTGGCGCCCACCATGCGACCAATTCAGCGCCTTGACGGAGTCGACGGCGCGGCTCAGAACTGCCTTCTTGCGGTCGAAGCGCTGCTGCAGCCTCCTGCAGCGATGCCTCGGCCAGGATGGCGAAGACCATGAAGGGGGTATAGGAAGAGGTAGAAGCTCGCGAGGAGCTGCACGGTTGTCGAACATCGTCAGCGGACGACGCTCGGCGAGGGCACCTGCGAGGGTGCCGAAGGGGTCGATCTCGACCCCCTAGTCCTTGGTGCCCTTGTCCTTGTCCTTCGGGGGCTGACTTTTTCCCCCGAGCCTGGACTCTTCGATTGCCTTCCTCTCTTCCTTCAAGATCGCCGCCTTGTCCTTCAGCCTGTTAGCGGTGTAGTTCATGATTGTCTCGGCCCAGCCCATCATGATGTTGGCTGCGCTGTAGTCCGGGTTGCTGGGGGACGAGGCGTGCGCTTCCTCCAGCACACTCTTGCGCCTCACCAGCAGCTCGACCCCTACCGTGTTCGGCAGGTTACACCGATCGATGCACTGCAACACCTTCGGAACCTCGCAGACCAGCTTGTACTCGTCCACCGACCTGTCCCCAGGAGGAATGCGAGCCGCCACGCGACTCTCACGAGCCTGTGTCTGCCAGGTCAGCCCCTGAGACCTCGGAGTTTGTGCGGTGCCAAGCGTGATGCGAGGACCCTTCGGGAGGCCATCGACGTCAGGTTCCTTCAACAACTTCAACACACCATCGTTGAAGGTACGACTGTAAACGCCATACTCGAAACAGGGCTTCATAATGCGACGATCACTCACCTCCGACGCGTAGAGATCAATCTTGTCATCCCTGAAGCTGGCAGACTTCTGCATCGGCACCCACTCCAAGAAGACAGCCACAGTGATCCCCGACGGCAGCGTGCGGGCCGACACCGCCTTCACGCTACCGAACGGGCCCGTGGGTGCGATCACCGCCTCGTCCGAGATCTTCATGTTGCCGCATGCATCATTCGTGAAGGTAACCCCGACGGTGTCGGGATCATGACGGTAGTCCTCCTCGTACCCATCCTGATCAGGCGTCGCAATCCAGGCTGAGCCGCCGTTCGGGTCGGCCCTAATCACCAAACGTTCGTGTACGAATGCCTCCCCCACAAACTCGACCACCAGGCGACCCCAACTGCCCGCCCCCGTACTTGTCGGCTGCGGCCACCCGCCCATGCGCACCTGCATCGGGGGCGCCGTAGGAGGAGCTGGCCTCGGTCGTGGCGGGGGCACCGCGGGCAGCCCCATCAGCGGAGGCAATCCTCCGACATGCGCCATCGCAGCCCCAAGCGCCGACGGCCACTGAGGTACAGCAGGCACTCTGCGAAACGCAGAAGAGGTTGATCCACACGACGGGCTCGGATGGGAGACGGCTGTGGGAGTGGCCTTCGATGTACATCTGCTTGACAGATCCGTTCCCTGAGGGGCGCGAGAGGGAGTCACACGAGCGGTTACAAACACCAGTGTCGCTATCCTCCACATCCATATGAACGGGCTCCATCGCGTGCAGCCGAGACTGTTTCTCTGATCCCAACGTGAACCCCCATAGCGTGGCGACGGCCACATGGAAAGATCTTGGGAGGCCCATAGACTGACAAGAAAACAGCTTGAGCAAAAACAAGTCGGACTACGGACACAGAATCAACAGAGTTTCAATTCATCTGATGACTGTGCGAACCACGGCGCTCCCGCCGAACATAGATGGATTATCCCGCAAGCTAAGGAACATATAAAAAAACGTTCACCACCTGCACGCTGGGCAATTCGCTTCCCGGTGCCCCTGTTTAGCTCCATCGCTGGTGCAGCCATTCTGCCTCGCCGCCGGCGAAGAAATGCTCTGAGGACCGATCGCGTCCGAGCAAGATGTGGAGACGTGTGGATGCAGGCGCGCCCCTGCTCGTCGAATGCCGAGTCGCGCTGGGAGGAAGATCACAATGCGCCGTGCCCCACCAACCCTGCACGCAACACTGCCGTTATGGCGCAGTGTTCACGGGTGCTGATCACGCAACCTGCTGGTCTGTCGCCAGGGTTTTCCCATCCAGACTCGCGCGCCGTAAGAGTGCATCGATCCTCAACTTCTCATCTCGCAAAGCTCAGATTGTCATCACCCACGACGCCGGACTTCGCGATATGCACAAACATGCACAAAACAAATATCGATGTCCTGCGATGCGGTAAGTCGCTCTATCGTCACGTCTCCACGTCCGATGTCGCGACGCTCGCACGGGGATCCACACATCAAGGTAGGCGGACCATACACATGAAATCACTATCCAACTTGAGGCAAACATTGGTTTCACCTCGTGCGGGAGACCACACACAAACGACCCGATGTGTCTCATCGAGACGGCCGCAATGCTGCGACTGCATCTGCCTGCATCTGCATATCTAAAGGGGCCCCAGGACACACACATAAATACACACAAACAAAAGGATTCCCCATATTTTATCATATTTTCTGGGTTTCTGTCTTCCCCCCCGCTTCCAAATTTTTCCAATATTTTCTGGGGAGTGGACGATTAATTTTGTCTGTGTGTTGTTTCCCCTCCTGAATATCCTCTCTCGCCGCCGTTGCGCACACCCCGAGAGATGCCGTGAGAAGAACGGAGGCTCGAATGCGTGCGGGAGGGCGCTGTTTGGGGAGTGCGAGGGCGGAGCAGAAGGCTGGTTCCCCATGCTTTGGGAGGGAGGGTGCGAGTGGAAGCGATCAGCTTACTCGTTCAAGCTGACAGCCCTGACTCCTGCTCCAGCTCTTCCTGCCCCTTCTCCTCCTCCTCCGCTCCTAGCTCCTGATGCTGCTGCCACTCCTCCCGCTCCTGCTCCTGCTCCTCCTCCTGCGCACTCCTCTCCTTTCTGTTCGGTTCCTCTCCCCCTCTTCCTCTGACAGTCCCAGCTGCTCAACGTTTCATCCACCCCTTTTCCCCCTCCCGCATCCTGCTCCCTCTGTCCCTCTCTCCGTCCCCCCCACCCTTCGTCCTCCGCCCGCATCTCTCCCACCCTTCCCCCTACGCTTGCCTAGCCCCTCTCTCTCTCTCTCTCTCCCTCTCCCTCTCCCTCTCCATCTCCTCCTCCCTCCTTCTCTACATATACATACATACACATGCATACATAGATACACCTCTCTCTATCTCTCTTTCTCTATCCCTCTTTCTCTATCCCTCTTTCTCTCTCTCCCTCTGTCTCTGTCAATGTGTTTTGTTCTCTCTCTCTCTCTCTTTATCTCTCTCTAGTCTCGATTCGACACGCACCAGACGCCCGAAGACGACCCAACGAAGACCACCAATAGGCCGTCTAAACGCAGGAAGAAACATTGATTCCCAATTGCTTTTCCATGATTTGGGGGATGCTCTGTTCTTCCGTCTTCCGGGCGTCCGAGACCGTCCAGGATGCCCCCACATCGCACAAGAACTACCCGAAAGGGCTTCCAGGCAGTCCACGAGAGCCCAGAGACGGCCACGCAAGGCCCAAAGATGGCAGGAAGAGAGCCCCGTGAGGGCCGAAGATGGACACACGACGTCCCGTGAAGCATTCCAAATCGTGACCCCTTCGTCCAGGGAGACCGCGGTTGGAAGCAGGGTGGCCTGAGGAAGCCCCCAGAGGCCCCTCGAAGGCGTCCAGGAGGTCCCCAGAAGGCTCCCAGAACGTTCGCGAGGCCCCGAAGAGGCTCTCCAAGGAGAAGGTTCAGCGAAAAGGAGCTGAGGAGGATGGGGAAGAAGTCGTAGGGTACGGCGAGAATGAAGAAGCGGATGGGGAAACAAGCGAATGATGACGAAACACATGATTAGAAGGACGGCGTTGGGAAAGGCAACGCACATCACTCGGAACATGTTGTGTCTTTGCCGTCCTGCCTTTCCGCCTGCAGGCCAAATGTCAAGGACCAAGGTGCATGGCGCGAAGCGCCAATGCAGTCTTGTATGTATGTACGTATGCATGTATGTATGTCGGTCGGCCGGTCGATATGTCTGTCTGTATGAATTCATGTATGTATGTATGTATGTATGTATGCATGCATGCATGCATGCATGCATGCATGTATGTATGTATGTACGCACGTACGTATGTATGTATGTATGTATGTATGTATGTATGTACGCACATGTGTGTATGTACGTATGCATGTATGTATGCAGGTAGGTAGGTCAGTAGGTATGTAGGTGTTTGTATGTTTGTATTTGTGTATGCATCCATGTATGTTTGTATGTATGCATGTATGCATGCATGTGTGTGTATGTATGCATTGACCTGTGTATGTAAACGTAAACATTTGTGTGCACAACTGTAACATGTATAGACATAGCTGTCCCACTCTCTGACTCACTCTCCTTCTCACTCTCGCTCGTCCCTCCCCCTCCCCCACCCTCTTCCCTCCCGATGTGCCCGTCTCCCCGAGTCGCCGTATATTCGGTGCAAGATCGTTTTGAGGTAGTCCCGCTCGCGGGGGTCCTGCCAAGGTCAGGCCAGCCAATCGGAGGACAAAGGGCAGGGAGCGGAGGCGGAGAAGAGGGGGAGGGGAAGAACACTGGGAGAGGGGGAGAGAAGGAGAGAGAGAGAGAGAGAGAGATAGAAAAAAAAAGAGAGAAAGACAGAGAACGAAAGAGTCTGAGATAAAAAGAGAAAGATCTATTGAACAGGGACCGACCGTCCCAGCATTCCTTCAGTTCTTCCACGAAGTTCCCCAAACAGTGCTTACATTTAGGTTTTCTAACTTCAGCTCTAAGAAACTTGGCCCGGCTGGCGGTCTGGCGGCTATGTTGTCGCCGTCGCCGCCCAGTCGCCGCCCCGTCGCCGCCCGTCGCCTGGGCCTGGCTGCCGGCCTGGCGGCTATGTGGCCGCCGTCGCCGCCCCGCCGCCGCCTCGTTGCAGCCCCATCGAGTGCACAACATAGATTGCACCACGTAGGATGCACAACCTAGGTCGCAACACACCGGTTGCACCACACAGGTTGCACCACCCAAATGTCTCCACATAGATTGCACAACATAGATTGCACCGCATCGATTGTACCACGTCGATTGCACCACATAAGTTGCACCGCATAGATTGTACCACGTCGATTGCACCCACAACAGGAAGTGCACCATATCGACGACACAGTGCATATTGTTAGGGACACTATGTTTGGGGTCCACGCTTCTTAACATGATCTTAAAACAAAACAAACGCTCGAACAATTAGTACAACGCCCTTCGAACGGAAAACCGATGCACTAAAGCAATACGGACTCAGCTAGACATGTTCTAAGAACATTTCGTTAACACCGCAAAACAATATTCGAACATGTCTTGGTGATCCTCTGCGCAACTCAGGACGCTTGGCCACTGCTCGCAGGGAGAGAGAGAGAGAGAGAGAGAGAGAGAGAGAGAGAGAGAGAGAGAAAAAAAAAAAAAGAAAACGAAACAAGAAAAAAAGTGTTGCGAAAGAGGAGCCAAGAGGGGGAAGGTAGGAAGGAGGGGGAGAAGCAACGAGGGAGGGGGGGAGCAGGTGGAGAGCTAGCGAGACAAGGGGGCTGCAGTCAGGTGCTGGGTAGTGCTGCAAGGTGCCAGGCTGCGCCCGCGAGGCCGCTCCTGGCGACGGCCGGTCCGAAGGCGTCTCTGGCGTCAGAGACATTTTTTTTCGCGCGCGCGAGGCGCGCAATCAACTTCGCGTCCTTCCACAGGCGGCATCTGCTGCTACTCCTCCTTCTGTGGCGTCAGGGTGTGCTGGGAGGCAGCAGGGTCGGCGGGTGAGCCTGGTCGGCTCTCTCTCGTGGGCGGACGGCGCAAAGGTCTGCACAGAGGGGCAACGGGGTGGAAATCTGGGCCTCAGATGCCCCGAGTGCCAATCGAACTCCTCCCCCACCTCCTCTGATTCTTAGTGAGTCTCTTGTTCGTCTTGGTGCTGCTCTTCTCCCTGTGATCGTTCGTTCTCCTTCTTCTTCTTCTTGCGACACCTGCGACACGGGAAGCGGCAAGTCGAGCTGGTCCACACTCCGAAAGAACTGCTCTGCTCGAGGCTGCATCTGGGGAGGAGGAAGGGGGGAGGGGACTGGAAGGCAGGGGGGGAGGCAAGAGGGCGGGGGACATCGGAACGGCGGGCCTCTTGCTGCAGCTTGGCCGCCGCAGGAGGCGGCGCGCCGCCTTGAGATCTTCACCTCCGACTCTTCTGAAGGGGCCCTGGGACACACAAATAAATGCACACAAATAAGAGGATTCCCCATATGTTCCCATATTTCCTGGGTTTCTGCCTTCCCCCCACTTCCCATATTTTCCCATATCTTCCTGGGAGTGGACGATTCATTGTGTCTGTGTGTTTTTTCCCCTCCTGATCTTCCTCCCTCACCCTTCCCCCCATCATCGCCCCTGCACTTCAAGAAGCGGGGGCAGCCGTTCGGTCCTGGCCGACCCGCTGCGGAGTGCACTCGTCGGATGGGAGCGGGGCAGGATCCTCCAACTCCCCCGGCCCCCAAATCCTAGAAACGCACACGCAAGCACACACAGACACACACACACACACACACACACGAACACATACACACATACACACACGCACACACACACACACACGCACACACACGCAGACACACGCACAAACACACACACACACGCACACACGCACACACACACACACACACACACACACACACACACACACACACACGCACGCAGACACACACAAACACACACACACACACGCACCTTCCTCCGCTCCCCCGCCACCATCCGAAGCAAGAGGGAGGACAGAAGAGGAAGGTGGGGTGCTAAGCCCAAGGCCTAGAGGCTCGGCCTGCCACGGTGCCGAATCGGCTTCGGCGCAAACGAAGCGTGAATTAGGCGTCATCCACCGCAGGGACCGTGCTCGAGAAGTCTTGGGGCGCTCTCTAAATTGGACGCCTCGCACTGCAGATTGCCAGCAGGCAGATGCCAAAGGCCTTTGCCTCGTGAGCAGCACTCACTCCGACTGCGCCCCTCTCTTCCCCTCCTCCCTGGGAGATTGAGCACGCTGTCCATTCGACAGCCATCCGAGGTGCGCGCCGACCTTGCGGGGAGGCAACCCGAACAGCGCGATGTGCAAACAGCTCGAAACGTGCGGCGCCTGCAAACATGACGCATCGTGCAGGTGCAGGGCTAATCCCCGCCGCATGCCCTTGACTGCGGCGCGCGGGAAGCCCTGCACTCCACGTCATGAAATGCCGCGCAAGCAGCCCCCCCCATACCTCCCAGGCAACCATCGACTAAAGGGAGGCCACATCAGATAGCCAGGGCCCTTGCCGAGTGATGCGGGCCTTTTATGCGTCACACTGTGAAGAAGTGGCGGGCCTCCGGCGCCGCAGCTGGCGTGCTCCGCACGCCAGGGAGGGGGCCCCAGTGCCGATCCATGAAATCCGCGGGGAGCTCTGGAAGAGAATACATCTGCCGTTCTGGTTCCTCGAACGCATGTCTTAGATGTTTGTAATGCGTTTGAATTTGCCTTATGGCTCCTCGAACACCACACGTTGAAGGCATTGGACAAGAAACCCATAGATAAAGGAATCCAGGGTCTGGAGGCTGGTGGAACTCAGATCGTGGATCGGCCATGCATATCATCGCCGCCCTCATCAGATAAGGAACCCTCCAGGGTCTAAAGCCTCCTGGGCACGTTCCTTAACGAACGCCCCCCCCGTATCCGCACGCCCCCCCTGGACGACGGTGGAGCGGAGCGGAGCCGCACGCGGGCGGCGCCCAGGGAGCACATCAACTCCGACTCGGACGCCCAGCGCGCACGGGCGTAGGCCGAAGTCGGGCACGTCCCTGCACAGGAGGAAGATTCAGAAATAGTCAAAAAGTTGGTGGGCGGGGCGGAGCGGAGGAGGAAGAGCAGGAGGCGGAGGAGGAGGAGGAGGAGGAGGAGGAGGAGGAGTCGGAGGCTCCCCCGTGCGAGCGCCATAGTCTAGCAGACAACGCTCACACGTATGGCACAGTTGCGCACTGAAACTGCACGTAGCTAAAAATATGACTCAAGGGACGCCTCGCTGCGAAGCATGGCGGGACGATTCGCCAACGGCCAAGGTCGAAGGGGTGGCCGAGCCTGGCAGGGCATGGTTGAGGAGCCAGTGCACCCTCCAAGCGTGAGTTGGTTGAAAGGAAGACGCTGGGCACATACACACAAGGCGGGGCCCATTGTATTTTAATTATGCCCTACAAGCGGCGCCCGCGCCGCGAGGGTGGCACTCTGCTCCCTCGAGGCTCGGCTCTGCGGCAGGCCCAGGAATCCCTTCGCAGGCCTCCGAGTGCGCGTGAAGACCTCCCGCCTCCAGCGGTGACTAAGCCTCTGCAGCGCGGCGCCGGCGGGCGAGGCGCGGATGCTGGAGAGCGCACCCCGAGGCTGGAAGGCGGCAGGGAGCCCACGAAGCCGCACCCGAACATCTCGGAGCCTCGCGCGGCTACGCGCTGCTGCTGCGCCGCAGCCTCCTCCGCAGGGGCATGCGGCGAGCGGGCGCCCCCTGGGGCGGCACCGGCAGCACCGAGCGCAAGATCGCCTGGGCCGCCTTGTCGGACGCCCCGGGGCCGTCGCCGGCGGCGCCCTCTGGGCGGAGCTGGGCGCGGGCGCTCCTCGGCACAAAGAACGTCTCCAGGATCAGCGCCCCCCACTCGGAATCGCCGACAATCGCCGGGGACCTCGCTGGGCAAACTTTCCACCACCGCTACCATAGGCAGGCCGGGGGAGAGGGGAGGATGAGGAGATCCTCCTCCTCCTGCTTCTCCTCCTCCTCCTCCTCCTCCTCCTCCTCCCTCCTCCTCCCTCCTCCCTCTCCTCCTCCTCCTCCTCCTCCTCCTCCTCCTCCTCCTCCCCTCCTCCTCCTCCTCCTCCTCCCCCTCCCCCTCCCCCTCCCCCCCCCTCCTACCTACTTCTGCTAGCGGTGGTGGACACTGGGCCCATCAGACCTCGGCAGCGGGGGCGGCCCCTCCGGCAGCGCGGGGCCGCCGCCGCGCTTCGCGAGGCCCTTGGGCTCGGCGGGGTCTAGGGCGCAGAGCAGGCGCGACCTGGCGGCCGGGCCGCGCCAGCACGGGCCGTGGTGCCTCGGGCGCCCTGCCGCGCCGGCGTGGCCTGCGCCCAGGGCGGGCAGCCCCTGGGGGCCGCACCCGCTGGCGAGGAGGCCCTCGGCGGAGGTGCGCTTGCCGCCGCTGCCCGGGCGCGGCTCCGCCGCCGGCTGCGCAGTCTGGCATGCTGGCGCCATCCCTCGAGCGGGCTGGGTGGCCTGGCCCTTGTCGTCCCTGCCCGACCCACAGTTGGCCGGCCAGATCAGCCAGGCTTGAGCTTGAGCCAACATTGCTGCGGAAGCCTCGCGAAGACCTTTGCTACGTCAACGAAGCTCTGCACGGCTGGAAGACGAAAACCATTGGTCAACCCGACGCAAAGCAGCGAAGCTAGCCTCTTCGGGCCCTCCAGGGAGCTTACTCAGAGCAACTCCTGGCCCTCTTGGGACTCTGTTTGACCCCCTCGTGGCCCTCTTCGGCCGTCTTCGGAATCTTCGGTCGTCTAGCGGCGCTCCTGAATCATTCGGGAGCCCTGGTGGTGGCCTCCTGGGGCCCTTTTCGGCCATCGTGGCGCTCTTTTCCACATGAAGAGCGGGGGGAGAGAGAAGCGGGGGAGGAAGAGGGAGGAGTGATGAGTGAGGATGCAGGCGGAAGGAAGGATGAGAGAAGGCCCTGTCTGAGGAGGTAGGGAAAGGAGGAACGGAGGGAGTGAAAGGAATGAGGCGGAATCTCATAGCGTCCCTCCGTTCACGTCGGCGCACCCTTCACACGGATCGTGCCCCCAGGGAGCGTGGACCCTCTTAGACTGTCTTGGCTTATGTCGGGCGTGTACCCCAACAGGGGGATTGTCGACGAATAATAAAACATACCCACAAAAATACCCCAAAAAGGTCAAACATGCTACAAAAATAGTCCCCATTCTATTTTTTTTACTATTTTCTAAAACTATTTTGGAGTATTTTTTATGTTTTGTCGAACATCTCCCTGTAGGGGGACACGCCCGACTTAAGTCTTGGCGAATGTTTGAGTTTTCTTAGCTCGTCTTGAGGGTGGCTCCCCACCGTCCCGCTTGCACAATGGATGTAGACGCAACTAACATTCACCGACGAACAAATCCCAGAGATCCAACGTCTTGAAAAAAATCAAGACGGAGGTTTTCGCAAATTTCGGCCCCTGGGGGCCCTCGCTGGGCCTCGGGACCGTCAAAAAACGACTCGGGATGAAAAACCGGTCCTGGGGGATGGGTCGAGGCTTCCGGGGACCGCGCATTTATAAAATCACGACATCGGATCTCTGGGATCGCATCCCCCGGCGAACAGGCCCACATACACCGGCGAAAAGGACATGCCCCGGCGATCCCACTTTTGGGGTGGATCGACACTGTTTGTCTAAGCAAACTGTCGAATGCACAACGTCTTGCAAGCGACATCCACCGGTAAAACGCCCCAGCGAAGAGACCCACACGCACACACACCAGCGAACAGGACCCATCTTGGGATGCGTTGGGCCCGTCGTCCGTCATGACTCCTCTTCCTCCTCCTTTGGTCCTCCTCTGCCTCCGCCCTGTACTCTTCGCCGAGCTTTGCTCATTTGTCCTCTTCCTTCTGCCCCTCCTCTTTCGTCCTTGATTCCACCTGTCCCCTTCCACCCTGTCGTTCTCCTGCCCCCCATGCCTCCCCATTGCCTGCTCCACACCCCCCATCTTCCTCTCGCAGCTCGTTGCGGAGACTGCGCATCAACATCGCTGACAGTCGTCGCTAGCATCGCCGCCATCCTCATCCTCATCGCAGGTTGCCCAGACTGCGCATCTCGCCCAAGATGGCTTCCGAGAAGACCTCAGATGCCAGGGCCTCCAAGACGGCGCACGCTCCCAGAGGCCCCAGAGCAGGCCCCGGCAGGTCCCCGAGCGCAGGGCCGGATGGACGGCGCACGACGCAACGCCTCCCCCAGAGGTCTGGACCCCTTCCCTGGGACCGGTTTGTCATCCTGAGTCGTTTTTTGACGGTCCCGAGGCCCAGCGAGCCCCCAGAGGCCCGAAAATAGTGAAAACCCTCCCGTCGTGATTTTTTCACAGCGCGAAGGGGGTCTGGGTCCACACCGGCGAACAGGACATGCCCCGGCGAACAGGTCGGCGAACAGGAAGTGCACAGGCGAACCGCCCCCGTGCGAAAAAGGGACGGCGAGGAACCCCTGGGCGCCTCGGGAGCAGAGGTCCAGAGCACCCCCGGCAGGACCCGGTGACCCATGGGAGGCTGCGGTCTCTGGGCCATGGGCCCCGGAGCCCGCCGGCCTCCATCTCCTCCCTCCCCAGACCTCCTCGCGCTGTGAAATAAACACGACGGGAGGTTTTCCATTCCCTACCTGGGCTCTGCCTAGAAGGGTTCTTGCTCTGTCTGCTTAAAGAAAGGGGCCGGGCAGTGGAACGCGCCCCGGGCGGTTCCCCCGGCATCCGCCCCGCGGTTCCCCCAGCTACGTCCCCTTAGCTTAGCGTTGCTTATCTCATCTTAGCTTAGCTGTTTTCATCTTAGCTTAGCTTAGCTTAATCTTAGCTCAGGTGTACCTTAGCTTAGCTGACCTGCATCTTAGCTTCGCTGAGCTTTAGCATAGCAGAGCAGAGCAGAGCATAGCGCAGCACAGCATATCATAGCATAGCCCAGCATAGCATAGCATAGCGCAGTATAGCATAGCATAGCATATCATAGCATAGCGCAGCACAGCACTGAACAGCACAGCACAGCGCAGCATAGCATAGTATAGCATAGCATAACATAGCGCAGCTTGGCATATCGTAGCATAGCTTAGCATAGCACAACGCAGCATGACATAACATAGCTTAGCATAACATAGCATAGCATAGCGCAGCATAGCATGGCATAGCATAACATAGCATAACATAGCAATTAATGCTGCTTTCCCAGGGGCTCCAACTTCTAGGTAGGGTCGCACTGGGGTAATCATTTTCGGCCTTTGGGGACCCTTGCCGGGCCTCACCACCGTCAAGAAACGACTCAGGACGAAAAACCGGTCCTGGGGAAGGGGTCCAGACCTCTGGGGGTCGACGCTGTGAACAAATCACGACGTCGGGGGTCTGGGTCCGCCGCCGCCACTTAAGAGGAGGAGGGCGGGGAACGTCAAAGAGGAAGGAGCGGGCGGCACGGAGGGAGGAGATGACGACGGGGGAAGCCAAGGGACTCCGCAGAGCAGCGCAGGAGGAGGAGGAGGAGGAGGAGGAGGAGGAGGAGGAGGAGGAGGAGGAGGGGGAGGAGGAGGAGGAGGAGGAGGAGGAGGAGGAGGAGGAGAGGAGGAGGGCAGGAGGAGAGGGGCAGGAGGATAGTAAGGAGCGGCAAGCAAGAGCGGCGTGCTGAACATCTGTCGCGGAGCGCCTCCCTGGGATGAGTGCAACTGCTTTGGGGGGGCGAAGAGACGAGGAGGATGGAGGGAAAGGAGTGAGGGGAGGAGGGAAGGGGGGGGAACACGAAGAGAAGAGAACGACGTCGAAGGAGAGACACGTGTGGATGCTCGGAGAATGCTGCATAATGATGAAGGCAAGAGGGACATGGGGGAACAGGAAAGATGGGCAGGAGCAAGGAGAAGTGAACTCTTTGACGACATAGAGCAGGGGAGACAGAGAGGAGGGGACACGGTGCCCCTACCCCACGCGCGCCTTTTATCATTAATCATTACCTCTGGCCCATCCTGCCTCCGTGCCTGGGTTCTTGGTAAGAGACCGCTGGGATGCATCTTGGGATCTTCTGAAGCCCCTTGGGGCAGTTCGGGGCCCTCATCTTGGCCCCTTGGGCGTACATCTGGAACATTTGTCGGCCGTCTTTGGGGCTCTCTTGGGCCGTCTTGTGGCCCTCTTGGGCCGTCATGGGGGGGCCTTGGGCCGTCAAAGGGCTCTCGCCCGTCGCACTCTTGAGCCCGCGCGGGGGCCTCTCGGGTCCCTCTTGCGCCGTATGGGGGCCCCCTTGGGCCGCCTCTTGGGGGCCTCTTGTAGGGAACCGAACTCCACACACCGACGCCTGTGTCTGGCCTCACACTGAATCTCGCACAGGAGAGCGGATCCTTGTGTGTACGGGATCTTGGCGTATGCATTCTTCGTTGTTTCCCTCAGGAAACGGGGGTAAAACGTATACACCACACCACCCCGACTTCGTCCCCGACCCTCAAAAAAGTCCTGGGACTGAAAATCCGCCCGCCACATGTATATGCTCCAGTTTCCGATCTTGGGCCGTCTTGGGGCGATGTTTGAAACCTCTTCGGGCGTCTCGGGCCATCGGAAGCTCGAAAAGGCAAGAACCCTGAAAACCTCCAAAACCAAAGGAAAGTCCATGTTGTTGGCCTCCTCGCGCCCGCGTGGAGGTTCTCTTGAGGCCCTCTGGGGCCGTCCAGAGCCCTTCGTGGTTGTCTTGGGGGGGCGTTGGCCGTCCTGAGGCTATCTCGGGGTTTGAGCTCTCTTTGGGCTCTCGTGGGAACCTCTTGAGGCGCTCCTATGCCGTCTTGGGGCTTTCTTGGGCCGTCTTGGGGCCCTCCGGGGGCCTCTTGGGCCGACTTTTGGAGCCTCTTGGGCCGTCCTGGAGCGTCGGAAGGCCGGAGAGGCGAAAGCCTTGAATGATTACAGAACTGCAGGGGCAGTCAATGCGCTTGGCCTCCTCGGGCCCTCCGGGGGGTTCTCTTGAGGCCCTCTTGGGCCGTCCTGGGGCCCTTCTGAGCGGTCTTGGGGTGCCTGGCCGTCTCGGGGCCCTCTTGGGGACCTCTTGAAGCGCTGTTCTAGTTTTTCTCCTGCGCAGCACCTGCAAAACGGTCAGCACCTGCAGACCTCCTTGAGAACATCGAAAGGGATATGAGAGAGGAGGGCGGATCGGAGAGGATCACGAGACACCGGCTACGGATGCAAAATGCTCAGCTGTCCGCAAGCGGAGCTGACCTGCAAGACGGCCCAGCAAGCTGACACGCCTGGGCGCGAATGTGCTTCACATCGTATGCCGTACCAGACATATTATACAGGGTAGTTTTTAATACATGGGAGTTTAAACAATATAGAATGTTTAATACATGATTAATTCATGAAGAACTTTATGCATGAACTCATCGTTGTTTCTAGTACTAAATCCCTGCATGTTCAAAACAGGATCCGCACGCGGAGCATGTATTAAAAGCGGCACCGCATATAACATGCGCTTCTCCTCGGAAACTTGGGGGGAGGTCTGCACCCAGCATTGCGAGCGAGTGAGACTCCTGGAAGCCCTGTTCGCGCTCAGGGGTTCCTCCCGTTGCGAGAAGACGCCGCGAG